GGTGGAGCCCTCATGAATGGGATTAGTGTGCTTATAAGACGAGACACAAGAGAGATACATCACTCTCTCCACCACGTGGGAATACAGCAAGATGGTGGCCATCTGCAAACCAGGAACCCCATTGGCCAGCTCCTTCATCTTGGACTTCCCAGCCTCCAGGACTGTGAGAAATATCTCTCTGTTGTTTAAGCCATGCAGTCTGTGGTATTTTTGTTGTAGCAGCCCAAACTGACTGAAACAGGACAGCTGCCAAAGACCCACAGCTACACCCCAAGATCAGAAACATGACAAGGATGTCTACTCTTACCAGTTCTGTTCCACATTTTACTAGAGGTCCTAGCCAGTGCAATAAGGCAAGAAAAACAAATTAAAGTCATCCATATTGGAAAAGAAGAAGCAAAATCTCACGAAGTAAAAAGAAGTGAAATGACATGACTACCTATGTAGAAAATCAGATAGAATCTACAAAAAAAGCTACTGGAAAAAATAAGTTTAGCAATGTTGCAGGGTAGTAGGTGACTATATAAAAATCAATTATATTTCTATGTGCTAACAACAAATAGTAGGAAATAGAATATTTTTAAATGCCATTTACAATAGCATCAAAAAACATGAAATACTTGGGGATAAATCTGACAAGATCTGTAAGACTTGTATACTTAAAACTATCGAACGCTACTGAGAGAAGTTCAAGAAGAGACTTTAATACGTGGGAAATATGCCTCGTTCACGGTCGGAAGATGTAATATCATTAAGATGTCAATTCTCCACAAATTGATCTGCAGACTGAACACAATCTGTGTCAACATCCCAGGCCTTTTTGTAGAAATTGGCAAGCTGATTCTGAACTTCCTGTGGAACAAAGGACCTGGAATAACCTCAACGTCTCTGATACGGAAGAACAAAGTGGGAGGCTGACAATACCTGATTAGAAGACTTATTACAGAGCCACAGTAATCAAGAGAGGGTGATATTGGCATAAAGATAGCGGATCAATGGACCAGAACAGAGAGTTCAGAAATAAACCCACATGTAAGCAAACAATTGACTTTTGACACAGGTTCAAAGGCAATTCAACAGAGAAAGGATAGTCTTCTCAACAAAAGATGCTGGAACAACTGGATTCAGAAGACTACTTTGATCCATATATCACCTGATATACAAAAAATAAGACAAAATAGATCATAGACCTAAATATAAAACTATAAAACTTCTATAAGAAAACAGGAGGAAATCTTTGTCACTTTGAGTTAGGCAAAGAATTCCCATATATAACCCCAAAAGCATGATCCAAAAAGGAAAAAAATGATATAAGTTGGATTTTATGAAAATTTAACTTTTTTTTTTTTTGAGGAAGGTTAGCCCTGAGCTAACTTCTGCTGCCAATCCTCCTTTTTTTGCTGAGGAAGACTGGCCCTGAGCTAACATCCATGCCCATCTTCCTCTACTGTATATGTGGGACCCCTGCCACAGCATGGCTTGACAGGCGGTGCCATGTCCGCACCTGGGATCTGAATCGGCAAAACCCCGGCCACCGAAGCAGAACGTGCAAACTTAACCACTGTGCCACTGGGCTATCCCCTAATACTTAAAACTTTTGTTCTTCAAAAGACATGGTTAGGAGAGTAAAAACACAAGCCACAGCCTGGGAGAAAGTAACTACAAAGCAGATATCTGTTAAGGTAAGTTGTGTGAGTCAGAGTTCTCAAGAGAAACAGAACCAGTAGTATACATATACGTTTAGATAAGAGGAGATTTATTATAAGAATTGGCTGGTGTGGTCATGAAGGCCAAGAGGTCCCACAATCTGCCTTCTGCAAGCTGGAGAATTAGGAAGGCCGCTGGTATAATTCAGTCCACGTCAGAAGGCCCGAGAACCAGGAGCTCTGATGTCTGAGGGCAGGAGAAGATGGACGTCCCAGCTCAAGAAGAGGCAGAATTCGCCCTTCCTCTGCCTTTTTGTTCTCTTTGGGCCCTCGGTGGATTGGACAATGCCCACCTACATTGGTGAGGACAATCTTCTCTACTCGGTCTACTGATTCAAATGCTAGTCTCCTCCAGAGATGCCCTCAGAGACACACCCAGAAATAAGGTTTTACCAACTATCTGGGCATCTCTTAACCCAGTCAAGTTGACACATAAAAGTGACCATCCAGAATATGTAAGGAACTCTCAAAACCCAGTAATAAGAAAACAGATAGCCTAATAAAGAAACGGGCAAAATATTTTAACAGACACTTTACCAAAGATAGACGGATGACAAAAAAAACCATGATTAAGATGCTGATCAATAGTCATTAGGGAAATGCAAATTAAATCCACAATGAGATGCTACACCTGACCCGTAGAATGGCTATAGTCACAGAGACTGACCATACCAAAGGTTGGCAAGGATGGGGAGCAGCTAGAACTCTCTTACCCTGCTGCTGGGCATGTGAAATGGTACCACCACCTTGGAAAACAATTTAGCAATTTCTTAAAAAGTCAAACATAGACCAACCCTATGACCTAGTGGTCACGCTCATAAAGAGAAAGCTTACATCCATGCAAAGTGTGAATGTTCATAGCAGCTTTATTCCAACCAAAAACTAGAATCAACCCAAATGTCCATCCACAGGTGAACAGATGAACGCACCGTGGTATATCCATTCAATCGAATATACTCAGCCACACAAAGGAATGAACTGTTGGTATATATAACAACACTGAACGAATCTCAAAACACTTCTGCTGGCTGAAAGAAGCCAGGCAGAAATATACATACACCAAGTGATTCCAAAATGCCAGAAAATGCAAACTAGTCTGTAGTGAAAGAAAGGAGATCCGTGGTTGCCTGGGGAGGGGAGCAGGGGGAAGAGACCCCCAAGGGATTACAAGGAATCTTGGAGGCGCTGGATTTGTTCATCATCTGATGATGGTTTCATGGTGATGAAGCCATCACTATGGTTTTCAAAGACGTATTGTTTCAGTGATGGTTTCATAGACGTAGACACATGTTAAAACTTGTCAAATTGTGTGCTCTAAATACATAATAGTTGACTGTGTGTAAATTAGACCTCAATAAAGCTGTTAAAATATGTAAGTAGAAACATAAAAGGGGAGAAAGAAAGAGTGAAATTACTCCAAGAAAGGTCTACATAAATTTTTCTAGCCTGTGTACCTCTGACTGTGACCTTGAGCTTTGCCTCTTCGTTCTCAAGAACGTGTAAGGTTGGGAACAGGACTGGTTTTTTTTTTTTTTTGGCACCCCTAGTAAATTGGCTTCCCATACACCTTATTTAGATGTTTCTTAGGTGGCTGGTGTTTCTCCCTTTTCTAATAATATTTGTCTGGATTTTAACGGGGTCAACAAATGTTTTCTAAGCTTCCTGTAGCCTTAGAATTGCCGGCTGAATCAGGATAACCCTTATTTATGACTCCTAAGCATCTGTGAGTTTAGTTCCAGCCTGTTCCTCATCCTCCAGAACAAAGTCTTTGCTGGATGGATATTTGGGGTCTCTGCTGCTGTTTCCTGAGAAGGCGGGGGAGTTGCGGATGGCCCAGCGGTCCTGACAACTCAGAGTCACGTCTTCTCTGATTATGTCCTTCGTCTACTGAGAAGTTTTATAAATATTAAATAAACAAAGTTCAGTCCCTTGGGTTTTAGAGGGAAATAGTCCTTCCAGGTTAGGAAAAAAAGTCAGTCCATTGCCAAGTATTTTTAGACAAAAGCATTTCCCCTCGATGATCCAAGAACTGGCGATGGTGGAAGGAGAGATGGAGTCCACAGGGTCCATTTGGAAGCGAAAACAAGCAGCTGTAAGATGAGAAGCGGGACGGGATGTCCTCTGAGGCTCCACCCTGGTTTACAATTCTGTCACTCTGGTGACAAGGACAGGCCCAAATTTTCGCTCTGGCTCTGGCTTTGATTTTCAGGGTAACCACAGGCTTTGGTCATCCGCTAAGCCTCACTTCCCTCATTCGTTAAATAAAGATAATAAAGTCAAATAAAAAGCCGTGTATTTAAAGCTTCAGTGCCTAAAAAACAACATGACCTGGATGCTGGCTGGAGGCTCTAGATCCCGGGAGGGTGCTGCTCACTTGTTCAAGGTCATTAGAGTTGCCCGAGGGCATGAATGTGGCAGCCTCTCAGCGCCCCGAGTCCAGAACTACCACCTGGATGAGAAGCAGCAGGTGCCCACCCTCTGCCTGCACCTTCTCACTGATCCTGTGTATGGATCTAGTCGCGCCAGAACTCGATTCAAGTCATTTATTGACGTCTCCTAATGGCCAGCCCTGTGCTGGATGCTTTCGCATATGTAATCTCATTTAATTCTCAGATTGACAAAGCTTAAAGAACGTTCTCTTAATAGGGAGTAGAGGAGGCCACAGAGGGACAGGAGCTTAGAGAATTCTCCTCCGACTCCCCCGTTTACTTCAAGGGAGGGGTCTCTTGAAGAGTTCACTGCCCAGCTCCGTACAAATGTTATTTCCTTCCTCTCGTTGGTCTAGGGATTCTCAGGGTTCGGGCTATATAGACAGTTGTAACACAAAACCCTGTTCACTGTAATTATAGCTCCCCCAGGGGCCCCGCCCTCCCTGCTCTAAGCTCCCTGCTCAGGTGTCCCCTTCTCCCCTCCCTGACCAGCCCCATATGCGTGAGGAACCCCCCAGCCCTCCTTATTCCCCATCCGGTTTATTAATTCTCTCTAACGTGTCTCCCCAGCCGGCATGTTATCTCTTTACCTGTCTGATGTCTCTCCTCTCTCTAGAATTTGGGTGCCATGAGAACCAGGGCCTGGAGCTGTGCCTGCTCAGTCAGTCTTTGTGGGGTGAATGAAAGATTGTGGGCAGGCCATTTAAGGCCCTGTCAGAGTGATTTTGATTCCCTGTGGTCTTTGCCTTCGCTGCTGCCCTCGAGGCCTCCCACTCTGGGGTTAGACGGCTCTGGTGGGATATTTCCCGGGACGAGACACTCAACAAAGCTTCTCACACGTGCACCCTTCCCTTCCCCACCCCAGGTGAATATAGCACACACAACGGACCTTCCACGCCGGCGAAAGAGGGAGACACGGACCGGCCGCTCCGGGCCTCCGATGGGAAGCTCCGAGGCCGGTCTAAGCGGAGCAGCGACCCCTCCCCAGCAGGGGACAATGAGATCGAGGTAACTCCACACGGCCTCTGTGTGACTTGGTAAATGTCCTCTCCACCTGCAGCCAGAGCAGGAAGGTGGGGCACAGTCCTGGCCAGGTACATGGGGGAGAATGGCCCTTTGTGTTCAAAGTAACAGAGAAAAGAGCACGTGATGGAAAAGGAGGGGAGAATTATATTGGCCCTACGGAAGCACCGTTGACTGACCAGGCTGGGAAAAGGGACCTAGAGACAGTAAAGAGCCTTGGTTCTCAGACTGGAGCAGCAGAATCACCCAGAGGCTGTGAGAACCCAGACTGCTGGGTCCCACCCCCAGAATTTCCAGTTTAGTAGATTTGGGGCAGGACCTGAGAATTTGCGTAAAGACAGGAGTGGACAAAGGACCTTCCCAGCTGAGCTAGAGTGGTTCTTAACCCTGGCTTCATGGTATAGAATCACCTGGGATGCTTTTTCAAATGCAGATGCCCAGGCCCCATCCCAGACTATTGAAATAAACATTGAGGGATGGAGTTCTAAACGCTACCCCAGTGGTTCCAGGACGGCGCCAATACTTATCTACCTGGAGACGGGAGGCTGGCTCAGGCGGGTTTGCGTCATTTCTGCGAGTCTGAGTTTCTTGGGTGGTTCTCACTCTGGGCTGCGCCTCAGAATCTCCTGGGGAGCTTTCAGAAACCTTCATTCTCAGCTGCACCCCAGATCAGTTAAATTGGATTCCCTGAGGGGGGACCCAGGCATCGGTATTTTTAAGCACCGGGGTGATTCCAGAGTGCAGCCCAGGCTGAGAACAGCTGGTCTCAGGGATGCTCCAATCCTTATTAGAATAAAGCAAGTGTAGGATTAGTGGTCAGGTGCTGACGTCCTCCCAAAACAAACTAACAGAAGAGAACAGCACGCATGAGAGAGCGGGGAGGGCACTGGTGGGGACAGAGGCAAGATAGACGCCCAAAAGACAGATGTAAGCAACTGTCATCTATCAAGGGAGAAAAACGGGCGTGTGCAGCAGCTCATACTTCTTGGCAGAAGGCAGTCAGTGACTCGTTGGCTTGAGTGTGCAGTGGGTACCTGGGTAGTGTTGGCAAAGCCTGTGTCAGTGCCGAGAAACTCAAATACCTCATCCTCGCATCCCTGTTCATAATCCTGGACAGGTTAGCTGCAAAGCTCAGCCCACAAACTCAGATATGCTAAGAAATACCATTTTCATCATTTCCTTAAAATCAATGTAATTTGACTCTGAGGCCCCATCCCACCAAGGTGGTAGGAAATTCCATCTCATTCTTGGGGCCTTTCCCCTCCCGGAATTGCATGAGAATCTCGGGGCATAAGTGTCTCAGAAAACAGAATAAGAGGCTGCGATGTCCAGTGTGGCTTGGTCACTGCTGCCTTCCTCTCGATCAGTACCTGCAGAGGTCAGTGCAAGTCCAGCCATTCTCTGGGGTCTCCATACCACACCTCAGGCGTAGAAAGCCTTATTGCGGACAAGAGCTTTGGAGTATTAGCTACAGTCCTTTGGTTGCAGGCAACAGAAACCAGTTCCGGTGACTTAAGCAAAAAGGAATTTACTGGGAGGGAACCACGTGGAGAGGAAGAGAGACAAGCAGGGTTAGAAAGAACAGTAACCAAGGCCTTGCCGAGGAATCTCGGGCACCTGCAGGGCACCAGCACCTGCCGGAGAGTGAACCATTTGCGATTCTAGCGCCGCTGCACTCGATGTCCGATCCCACGGAGACAGCAGCCCGTTGGCCGGGCTTGGGTCGTGTACTTGCTCATGATGGACAGTCCCACCAAAACAGCATACAAGGGGCAAGAAAACGAGGGTGCTCTTTTCAGAAGGCGGTGGATGCTGGGGGCACACACAACAAATGCCTCCCACCAGGGCATTTGATATTTCACCAGTGTTCACTAGTAGGGCTGTACTAGTTAGCCAGTGTTCACTAGCAGGGCTGTAGCAGACGTTTATGGCTGGCGTCTGCTCCAGTCGTCCTAGAAGGTGTTAAATATTTTGAGCATCACACTTGTCCCCTACCTTGGTCAGCCTCCTGAGGATACAGCAGCCACCTCCTCTGAGAGCTTGACCATCCTGGGGACCTGCCACAAAGCGAGTGGACGGGACTATTCTCAGTCCAGGGGACTCTGTTCTTGCTTTTCCTCTAATTCTCACGGCTCCCCACCTCCCAAAACCACGGGGATTTTGCCCAATCCCTTCCGTGGGACTAGGCCTTTGCAAAAGGCCAGAAGAAAATTGATTGACTTCAGGTTTTCCTTGCTCTCTGCCCTCCCATATTCTAAGGATTTCCTACCAGCTTGACATTGCAGAGCGATGGAAATCACAAAGAGCAACACATACTTTCATATTACAAAAAAAGAAAGAAAAAACTATTGGGTCCCCTAATGTGTTTTCTGCTCTTGGTAGGGGTGGGGGTGGAGAGACATTTTTCCATTAGACTGAGAAGGTGGAGGTAGCATGGACGTCGGGGATTATGGGGTGATATTATTCTGGAAACATCTGCTTCTCGATTGCAGGGTAAGGACCACTGGGCAAGCGCAGTTGCAAAGGTGTGAGCCGTGTCACTTCTGTGCATAACGTCAGCGTGCACGGGTCGCACCTCTTAAGTCTTGGCAGTTTTGCTAATGGCCGAGCCCACAAGAGAGAAATTATGTAGAGAAGTGGAAAGGAGGAATATTCTGAGTGTGTATTAGTTAAAATCCCTCGACTGCAGGTGCCAGAAATGCGCTCGAGCTGGCTTAAGCAAAAAAGCAGAGTTTATTTTAAGGATACAGGGATTCTCAGTGAATCCAAGGGCAGGGGGACCGTGGAGTGTCAGCAAGATACTGGAATTAGAAGGTAGACGGGGCAAGGAAATGCGTTTATGCCTGCTCTCCCCACGTGCCATGGGGAAGGTGCTAGAATGCCCAAACAATAGTGTCTTTGCAGTGCCCCCGTGCACCGGTTACTGGGCAGGGCTCTCCTCCAGGCCCCTCACTCTTCTTCCATCTGAAACCAGGTCCAGCAAGTGTTGGGTTGTCTTTGCATCTTTCACCCCTGTTCCTCTCTTTCTGCAGACTGGCCTTCCCTGTCCTTCAGATCATGTGGCCGCCAACAGCCACCCAAAGACAATGAATTTCTTTCTAGGCCCCAATTTTTTAAGTTCCCAAGGAAAGGCCTCTGACCCAGCTGGGGTTAGGGCCTCATCCTGGCCCAAACCTCAGCAGGCCAGGGGTCACCTGCAGAACGGCCACCAGGAATTCACCCACGAGGCATCTAGGGCAGGGGGATAGAGTGGTGGGGTAGTGGGGAGAGGGACAGACCTTCTTCAGAGAGGATGTAATAGATAAATCAATGGGATCTGCATTAAATTTGAAAATATTCCCTGATTTTTAAAAATTCTCTTACCAAAATTTCTGTTTGACTGAACCACTCAGTTCAGATAAATTAGGATTTAGTCTATTTAGACCCCAGAAGCTTTCTCCAAAAACAATGGTTTTCAAACATTTTTTTACTATGACCCGTAATGAGAATGATACTTAATATTGTGACCCAGCGCATGCATACATGTAAATATAACTAGACAAAAAAATTCACAAAATAATACTCAGGTCTGCTAATTGCTTTGAAAACCTCTGCCCTGATTGACCTTTTTTCCTTCTAGATCCCACCTTTCTCTCCTTTTAAAGGCATGGCAAATGCCAATGTGTAGATACAGCCACTGGCTTCCAGAGAGTTGTCAGATGTGGCCCATTCAAGATGGCGGACTGAGTAGGTACACCTGCCCCCGCCAACCCCAGCTACATAAATGATCAGTCAGTCCCTTTGTTCTTAAAAATAATGATCTCCAGAAAAATGGGGAAAACCAACAGCATGAAAAATAAAGGCCAAGCTAACTAAATAAATGGCGGGAGGTAATTTAAGAAACAGAAAATAACTTAGAAAAATTCTGACTGGTTTTCTTACAAAGATTTAAGAAGATTTGTATCCATAAAATAAGAAGTGGATCCTCTTGGGCGGGGAACGCTCAGATGCCAAGTAAGAGCTTTTGAAAATTTTAAAATGATAGCAAGAATCAAAAGTTTAATAGAAGGGTTGAAAGAAAAAGTTTAAGAAATCTTCCAGAACGTGGATCAAAAAGACAAAAATTATAGAAAATATATTTTTTAAAGGATAAGCAATATCAATATGAAAAGTCTAATTTGACTACAGGGAATTCGAGAAAGAGAGAACAGTGGAAAAGATGGGAATAGATTATTTAAAGGAATAGGATTGGAAATGCTTGAGTGCTGACAGGATGAATGAAAAGAGACTACCCCTAGATGTGTCCTCATGGGACTTGAGGATACCAAGTATGAAGAAAAGATCCTAAAAACTCCAAGGGAGGAAAAAGTAAGAGCTATGAAGGAGTGAGGATCAGTGAAACATCAGACTTTGCATCAATCCTGCTGGACACTATAAGATAGTGGAGGAATTCTTTCCAAGATCTAGAGGACATTATTTTCCAATTGGAATTCTGCACCCAGTGGAACCATAAAGCAAAATAAAGACAACATCAGATTTTCAAGCATTCGGGAAGATTACTTTCCATCCATCCTTTCAGAAGGAGCAACTTAAGGATGTACTCAAGCAAAACAAGGAAGAAAACCAAGAAAGAGAGAGACTCGGGATCCAGGAAACAGTGGATTTGACCCAGAAATGCAGTAAAGGGAAGTCTCATCATATTAGCTATGTAGGAAAGCCTAAAAATGATCCAGTCCACACTGGAGCATGCTGTCACTGAGGATGAGCATCTTTAATATGGAGGATGTGGCTGAATTTGAGATCATCATGAAGGCACATTATTGCAAACAAGGAAATAATTAAAGTGATTCATAAACTCTAGAAAACAGAAAAAAGTGATACCAGACAGGCATGATTCCTATGTAACAAATATGGCATGATTTATTCGGGATAGAGTGCAAGAAAGGAGAATGCACATGACCTTGATGATAGGAACAATCTCCTTAAAGTGACTCCGGGGTTAAGACATTGGACACCTAGAGAAGGAAGTGAAATCCTAGCTCATTACTTGGCTCTGCAGCAAACGGTAATCTCAAGATAGAAATGCTGTTTACTGGTTACCAACTTTTAAAATCTACATATGGACAGAACACAGAAGACTTCAGTATAGTTATAAAACCAAATTCACACACCAGTGCATCCACACTGACGATGAAAAGTAAGCTCAGGCTGATGGGTATTAGAGAGAGGAGGAGGCAGGAGAAAGGGTGGACACCCGTATCTTCCTTATGGGGTTTACCGGTTTAGCGAAGGGAGAATGTCAAAAGCGCATGGAATTGGAAATAGAAAGGTTCACATATGTGAAAAATATAAAGTTCAAGAGACATGAGGGAAATTACCATGAGCAAAACCCTCATCTTTCACATTGCCCAGTCAAAAGACATTGTCTAAAGCTGGCAAATCGATAAGGTCTAAGTGTGTGTGTTAGAGTTATGGAGGTGATCACCAGAATTGCTCGAAACAGAAATGGTTAGAAGTAGTTGGGCTTATGGCGAGCAGTGAGTGCAAAATGGTAGTATTTCATTTCGTCAAATGAGTTATGTGACTTTTATTGTTGTTTTTGGACTGAACTCCTCCTTTTTTGAGGTTTTATATGCAAGGCAAGAACAGGCTTCTCGGTTCTGGCGTCTCTCGCGTTGATAGGAGCTCAGACACTGGCCATCCGAATATACTTTGCACAGCGGAGGTTGGATGGGGGCTCCAGGACGCATCAGTGGGTCGCATGTTTTATAACTTAAAGATAATGTTTTTCAAGATTTCTCTTTCCTCCCAGGCAATTAATCTCTGCAGACGTTAAGTCAGATGCAGGCAAGTCCATTTGTCTCCATTCTCTTCCTCTCTTTCATCACAGCGTGTGTTCGTGTGGGATCTGGACGAGACAATAATTATTTTTCACTCCTTACTCACGGGGACTTTTGCATCCAGATATGGGAAGGTAAGAATCCATTTTCTCTCTCTTTTTTTTTTTTTCCCACAAGACAGTCTGTCCAGCTGCTTTGTCCCGGGAACTGTGGGGGCAGTTTATGAGGCAGCTTCTCCAACAAAAGCTGCCCCCTTGGGTCAGCCCAGGTTTGAGAACTCCTACAGAATTTTCCCTGGACATGTGAAAATTTAATTAGTTTCCCTTCTACTGTCTCCCACGCCTTTTCTTCCAACCCATGAAGCCTTCAACATCCACTTGATAGGATGTAAGCTCCCACATAGTCTTTAGTTGTTTCCCTCCTAAGGGGGCTAGGATACACGGCAGCCAAAAACAGTCATCTCAGCTAAGAAACGAGGTAACGGATTTTGCTCCATCCCTGTTGTTTATCTTAGTGTCTCCGGCAGATGAATTCAATTTTCCTTCCGTTTTTCTGAGACAAGGGGGAGGCGTTTTGTCAGCCCCAGCGTGGATCTTAGCAACAGCTTTGCAAATGTATCATGGACCAATTATCTTGAGGAACCGCCCGTCAGAGTTCTGGGCAGATGCTGTCAGCTGATTGGTGGTGAATGGAGGAAACGTTGAAACCAACTTCCTAACGCAAAAATGACCCCAGCTGCTAAAACCCAGACCCTGCTGGATCTTTGCGTTCATCCCGTGGGATTTTCAACCAACTGCCGGCGGATGCTCCAGCTGGCTGCCCTCTCTTCGGGGAGACAGGTGGGGGTGAGGGGCAGGGCTTGGGAGGACTGGCCAGTTATCATCTCACCCGAAGTGAGCGACCTGTTGGCAGCCGCTTCCACGCCTGGGTAGGAACCAGGCGACTTACCAGCGCCTGGAAAATATTTCTGTTTCTGTTTAGAGACCAGGAATATGATTTGACATCACCTCATAGCTTTTCCAGCTGCTCGTGGTTTTTATGGGGGTTATAACAAGCTGGATGTGTAATTAGCAACATAGATTTATCGTCTGCCATTAGGTTGTAAAGAGTCTAAAAATGGTGTTGGTGGTGCAGAAATCTCTTGCCGCGTAGGAATGCCGTTAATACGTCTAGCAGTGCTGCGGGAAATCCGGCGTGCGTTTTTGGACGGTGCACAGCTTAGGTAAAGGATGGCAGAGTGGAGAGCTGCTGAAAAGCCCAAGGCGTGGGCCTGGCAGCCTTTGTGAAAAGTTGGGCCGCCCCCAAGGGGCTAGAGTAATGGGTTGCCCACTAGGTCTTGGTGTTCTGTTGGGTTTTTAACCTCTCCAGTAAAGTCACCTCCCCTAAGAAGCGTCCCTTGGCTCTTCTTGCCCTTGGAGAGAGCCCTCTGAAGCTCTACAGTCCCATGCGACAGTTCAGTTCTCATGGATCCCGAGGGCTTTGTAATCTTGGGGATGGTTTTTGTGTCTGTGTCTCACCATCACTCCTTAAACCGAATTGTGCGCTCCCTGAAGACAGGGAGAAAGCCCAGAGCTCCTTTCTGGGCCCCATGCCACCCGGTCCATGTCATTCCTTATTGCCTGCTCCCTCTCTCCCGCCCTACCTCCTGACTCCACCTTCCAGGGTCTTTCATGAGCTCTCCGGCTCTGTTTCCTACTGTTTGTCCTCAGTTGCTTTCTGTCCTCGTGCCTGCCACATTCCCCCCCATTGCTGCTGGGCTCCTCCCAGAAGCAGAGCCTGAGACAAGGAGTGAGTGCAGGTGGTTTATTTGGGGGAAGCACCTGGTACAGAGTGGGAAACTGAGACAGGGAAGGGAAGGTGGCCAATACAGGGTACAGAAATAGTTATGCTGTGGTAACTGGGGCTCAGCCCCACCAGGGACCCCTGGGAGACTCTAGAACAAACCTCAGAGTTGACCCACCCAAGGAGCAAGGATGCTGGGATATTTATCCACAAATCCCCTTCCATCATGGGCTGAGGGCTTCTCCTAGGAACCTTATCTCCCGGCCTTGCTGGCCTGCCCCGAGAAAGCCCTGGGGCAGGACTCGCAGGTGCTAACAGTAGAAAACCACTGCATGTATGAGAATAGCAACAGCTGAGGGGACACGAGGGCGGGGCACTCTAGAAACCTCTGAGATAATCCAGAATGTTCTAGAAAGTTCTTTTACTGGATCAAATCTTACTTGTCTTTCAGTTCTCGTTTTAAATATAGCTTCCTCCAAGGGGACTTTCCTAACCGCTCTCCTCCATCTAAATTGCGTCTCTCCCCATAACTATGTTTTTCATTTGTGTTATAATTATGCACTTATTGTCTGTCTTCCTTCCATGCCATACATACCACAAGGGCAGGGACCATGAACATTTTTTATTGACCCAGCTAAGCTCAGGGCCAGAGTGACTCAATAAATATTTGTTGCCTGGATGTATCAGGACAGTCGCCTAGAATGAAAGCTGTATGACGACAGGCACTGGGTTTTTTTCTGTTTTGTTCATTGCTTTATCCCCAGTGAATAGAACAGTGCCCCACACTCAGTAGGCGTCAAATAAATATTTGCTGAGTGACGGAAGGAAGGAAGGAAAATAGTATGAAAACAAAAAATTCCTAACCGGTGGCCACCCGCCAAATGCAGCCTGCAGACATTTTTGTTTGGTCCCTCAAGTATTTGAAAAAATGTGAATTTAAAAATCAGGAGATTGCACAGACCAAAACAATCTAGATTTCCAACTCTTCTTGAAAAATTAGAAAATCTGGTAACCCTGCGTTCCCATGTGGCAGCAATCCACAGGAGCCGAGGAGTGATGGCCCTGGTCAGGGGCGGGGGGGAGGGAGGTGGGAGGGGACACGCTCTCCAGCCCATCCGCAGCCCCTGCCTGGCCTGAGTAACCCATTTACGGGACCCTCCTGGCCCCATTGGCATCCAAGTTTCAACATCCATCGTAGAATTTAAAAACCACAAAAGGTCCCAGCTGGAAGGACCATGCTGGGAGACCGTCATGCCCAGTTAGTCTCTGCGGTGCCTCAGGAGAGACGAGACCCAGAGAGAGCAGGATCGTGCAGGAGACAATGGGAGTCAGCCTCAGGCTCGCTTGCCTACTTGTGTGTTTCCAGGATGTCCAGGGAAAGCCGAGGTGAGGAGCTCTTACAGCCCCCAGGTCTCTGGGACCATCTTCATTCCTTTTCTAGAATGTTCCACTCCCTCCTCCAGCTGTCTTAGGTGAGGAATGAGTATTTTTTTATTTACTAAATCCATCCACCCTAAGAGAGACCCAAAATGACCATGGCTTAAACAAGATAGAAGTTTGTTTTTTTCACCTAGCAGTCCAGCCACACATGGTTCAAGCTGGTAAGGCTGCCACACAGAGCAGCCGGGGACTGGGACCCCTTCGTCTTGTTCTCTGCCATCCCTGGAGCGTTGCCCTCATTGGCAAGATTGTCTGCATTCCAGCCAGTGAGAAGGGGAAACAGGAAAAGGAGAGTTTACCCCTCTCTTTTGGATATTTTATTTGTATTTTTTTCCTTCTCTTTTAAGGGCCAGACCCAGAGGTGGCACATATCGTTTCTGCTCACATCCCCTTGGCTGGAACTTGATCACATGGCCACATCTAGCTGCAAGGGAGCTGGGAAATGTAGTCTAGTCACCTGCCCCATTAAAATTCGGGATTCTGTTAGAGAGAGAAAGCAAGAATGGATATTGGAGAAAACTAGCATTTTCTAGCACAAAGTATCACGTAACACAAGGAAGAAGAGTGAAAGAGGAAAATGTTGAGGAAAAATAAAATTAGTTCTGTTCAAGAGACCTAGAGAGCAACTGTATTTATGGGTCTGAAGCTCCAAAGAGAGTTCTGGGCTACAGTTACAAACTTGGAAGTTGGAAAAGTGTAGAGGATCTTGAGGAGCAGGAGTGTGAGTCCCATTTTGCAGACAGAGTAACTGAGACACAGGGAGGTCATGTAGTCAGGGTATTCGTAACAGAACTGAAATACATGACCTTGACTTTTGGCCCACAGCTCTTTCTCTTTATGCCTTTCCAGCAGCCGCAGCCATATGGAAATATTAACAGCTGGTATCAAGCAGGACTCTGAGTTTGAAATATGTAGTGTTTAAGCTACAAAGGGAATTTATTGGATTGCAATAACTGAAAAACCCAGAGATATCTGGGATTCAGGTCAGGCTGGATCCAGGAGCTCAAGCAATGTTCTTAGGGCTTGGTCTTTCTGCATCCCTCAGCCAACTTTCTCCATGTAGTGACTCCCTCTCAGCAATCCTGACTAAAATGGAAGATCTTCTATTTCCCAACTTCCAGTACAACTCCCAGGCTTGGATCTCATTGGCGCAAACGGGGTCAAGCCCATCCATATGCCAACTTCTGTGGCTCAGATTGGCCAGCCTAGACCGAGAACCCATTCCAGGCATAGAGAGAATGGTGGAGGAACAGGTCAGCTCCATCCCAGCCAAATGGATGGAGTGGGAGAAGGACGGTCCCCCAAAGGAAACTGAAGTGCTCTTTCCAGAAGCAGTGCGGACCGTGGAGGTCCACACGAGACGGGAAAGAGCAAAGCAGCTCTCTGCTTGTGGCCATTGTGCTGAGCGCTGTACAGGAAGCAGAAATCATCTCCGCTGTGGTCCCAGCCAGAGGAGCAACTCCCTGTTTACTTAGGGAAATAAGACCAGCAGAGCCAGAACGATTAAGGGATGATTCAAAACAGAGTGTTTGAGTTTTAAAACAGAAACTGGGCTCCCTTCCTGTTCCCAATCAAGGCATGTGCTGCTCGAGGCTGTCATCTCTCCACTTCCTTTCCGTCTCTTCCCACCCCGAACTCAAAGCCAGAGCCAGAGCCTCCCTTTGGTAGCTGTGCCTCCCGCATCTTGTGGATCCATTAGGATTCCCTGGAGAGCCGCAGCAGCCAGCGTTCCAGCCCCTTTCCTAGCCTCCCCTCACTCCCATCCGCCTCCCCGCGGTCCCTGAACTCAGTTTTTTTCCAGCCGGGATCAGGCAAACGCAGGGTGGTCGGGAGCGTCCGTCGATGGCCAGGAAGAGATTCTAAGCATATTAATCAGCAGTGCCCCCCCCCCCAACCCCGGGAGGGCACAGTG